TCAGATAGCGCAAGAAATTCTCTACAGGATGTGCTACTGAGAAGCAAGGCAGAATGAGTTTTTAATCAGCAGTGAATGTACAAAAAATAGGTGCACAAAACGCTGAGAACTTTCCGGACAACCTAATACTACATGGAGTCGAGAAATATAACAAAAGCGCTGAAAAGGGTCAGTAGGTTTCTGCCCTTCTGTGACCAGGAAACCACAAGTACCTGTATCGTATCAAGTACCTTGTATCTGCACTCAACAACACGTCATCCACAATTGTATAGGATTCTGAAACTCCAGCTAAAAATGAAAATTGGGTGGCCCATGTCAAACGGGACCATCGGCTTCTTACCATCGCAGTCGGCACAGCTCTAGGAGAGTTGACCACAACTCTGGGAGAGTTGAGTTGAAAAACTGCCCGAAACATGGTTACGTACTTCAGATATTAAAAGATGTTCAGATGTCTTTTCTTGCTCTTTGAAGGTCTCGAGGTATTGTCGAATCAAAAAAATCTACTTTAAAATTTCGCTGGGAGTGTAACCAGTCTTTTTTCCAGTTTAATACGAAGACATATTGCTGTTTGTGTCCTTACAGTCAAAGTTAAGGCAAGTCAAGGACAGAATTAAAGTCTGATCTCTGCTCTTTCCAGACCACATTTCAATCCACTTCTTGCGCTATCACTCAACAGTTTGTTGCAAGAATTGGTGCCATACTGGTGAATCAAACCTTAATGTCATCCGAGACCTGAACCTGTTTTTATGAGCTTTTTACTTATGTGTAACTTCTTATAGGTTAGTGCGGAGGGTAGATCAGTGTGCTGTTAGCACGGCCTTCCCAGGGCTTCCTTTGCGAATCTTTGTGTTGGCTGCAGGTCTCTTGGTCTAGCCCATGCCAGGCTGAGAGCCCGATCTCCAGATTCTCCAACCGAGGGTGCGAGGACAAGTCGCGGATCGACTTCGGTTCGCAGACCAGAACGCAACTTTCCCTTTCGTATCGCTGCGAGCACAGCCAAGAATTCGCTGAGAGGATGAAGACATTGCACTTACCACATCGCTGGCCCGTCGGCAATTCATTGTGTAGCGCTCACCTCGCATTCCCCCATAAAAACACTGCGATACTGAGGCAGAAGTAGATATCCGCAAGAAGGAGACTGATCACTGCAGAAAGTTCACCTTCTACGCTGCCAAGTTTTTATGGTGGTGCTTGCGTTTCCCGGACACCGAAATAGTTTCAGAACGTGACAGCACGGCGTAACTTCTGATATGTTCCAGGACACCCTCCGAAATTCGTTCACACTTGGAACCGGTTAACTACGGCACAGCTCACAAAAAAACTTGACAGGTGATTTTATTTACTTCCAGCTGGGCTGTGCCATTCATTTCCCTTCATTTGGCATCACTCCCGTTGTTTCGTGAGGCTTCATCGGCGTTATAGGAACCACAGAACTCTTCTCTGTTTTTCGTAATTCAGCATCTTTACGCATTTTTATTTTTGCTCATGCGCAAGGTTGTCATATTATTTCTCTTCAAGTTCATAGCGTTTTGGTTCCTTGCCTCTTCGTCTTACTCCTAACGGTGTTCAGTCAAAAAAGGAGAATCGAGGAAAAATAGGAGATAGTAAATAGAATTCCATGGTACTACACATTAGTTTTCGCACTTTCTTCCCTTTTCCACTCCATTCTGAAGCCCTTCATCAAACTTTCTCCACATGGACACTTCCTCTTCTCGTGCAGGCTCTACACTTCTGCTATCCAATCTCTCATCAAATTCGACCATCAATAACTGTTTTTTCTATAATCTCATCTGCTGGAAAGGATCCTCTCAAAATCATTTTTCAACATTGATTTCTAACCTACAGTGTCCCTTTTAACGTTCACTGTTCGCACACTAATGTCGCGCGGACTTACAGAAATGATTCCTGCAAACGACGGAGCGTGTGACGGGGCGTGGCTTGGAATGTAGCCAGGGCAGATTGCTCACTCCTGTAGCAGACTCAGGATGACATGATTGTTAGATCAAGGCGTGCCTGACTGCGCTCCAAAGCGCGCTGCGTCCACGCCCTATTCGCTGCAAGGATCACCACTGGCCATATCTAACGGCGGCTTCATCTACGGGACATTAGGATATACTATTCCAGAATGCCTTTGCCTTCCTTTTTCGTATAGATCAGTCAAAAGAATCCGGTTGTGATTTTTTCCACCTTTCGCTCGTAACACACATTCCATGCAGACGGGAGGGCGTCTGAGGGGGATGGTTACAGTGCAGCCAGCTTTCAGCGGCATGAAAATGCGCAGGCTGGCTGCACTAAAACCATCCCCCTCAGACGCCCTCCTGTCTGCAGGGATAATGACCGTATTTCCGACTGTGAATTCTGGTAAATGAAAAGGCTTTCCCCAGATCACAAGATGTTCCTTTAGTATATCAAAACCAGTTCAAACATGTGATACAAGACTTCGATTAATCGTTGTAATTAGTTATAGGCACTTTTCGAGACTGCGAGATGTAGATAAGTGGGGGGGGGGGCGGTCGAAAAGGGCGACAGCCAGAATTCATTGGCTAGTGGTAGATACGGATGGCCACACTCGCCCCCGGAAAAGAAATGCGAGTTTGAGCCCCGCATAGGACCAGACTTTTGTCGATGACCCAACATTCTTGTGAAATATTCTTGGGTAGGCATTTTTATCCACACCCGATGAAGAAAAAAGCGCCAAGAAACCGCCAAAAACACTCTAGACAAGAGCCTTTCAACTTCGAGGTTTGCATGAGCATTTGGTCATCAAAATAGCGCCTTCGACGAGTTCTCGCTTACTAATGTTCATTAGCGATACTTCTCAGCAGTGAGAGGGAAGTATCTGACTGAAAACGCAGGTAACGCTCACACTCGAATCATTGCTTTGCTCAGCGAAAATGTGTCTCCGAAGGAAAGTTCGTGATGTGACTGCAAGCAACCCAAAATAGTTTAATTGCAAGCAAAGATTTGTTTGCCTCTGCCGCTTATCTCTAATGATCTCGTCACTTGTCACGCCAGTTCGTCGAGCAAGAAGAACAATGGACCGTCTGTCCTATGGTTTTCTGATGCAACTTATAACCTCTTCTATATTTACGAATGCGGGTCATTGCGCCTATAGAAGCATCAGGAGAAGGCATCCCTTAATACACACGCTTTGGTGCGACCCCATCCTTCCGTCAAGGGCTATTTGCCTCTATAGGGATGCGACTGCGTAACGGAGGTGCGCCAGCGCCAAAAACGTACGTAAGCAGACCACATCTCTACGTTGATGCACCCGATACGCCTAAAAGTTTTGTTTCAGGTGCTGAAACGACAGGTGCCTGGTCCATCTAGCGAAGGCATCGACGAGTGTGTTGGGCCTCAACAGGGGTGCATCGATGGAAGGTGAAGCATGCATTTTAACAGTAATGGGTTCTGCTCGCGCTCATTTTTATTCTTTCATGATTGCTCATCATATTTAATTCAAAAGTCAGTGGGCACAAAACAATGTAGTCAAGTTAATTAGAAGGGTAAATGCTGGGCTGCTCAGGATTGGAAGAATGATAGACACTCACCTAGGAAGGTAAGAAAGTGGGAAAGGACCGCAGGGAACAGAACAGGAAAAGACGCATGCACCACTTGCCGGTAGGGATCAATGATAGTCAAAAATGGAAATGTCTTCGTCAGCGAGCGATGACAGCCCAGTTGACGATCCTGAAAAAGTACCCATCACACTTTTTTTTGAAGGATTTTGTGATTGGCCCAGAAAAAAAGTTGGCTTCCCTAATCAAGAGGTGTATTAACTAAATAATTTCGCGCGCACGTCGAAGGGGCAGGCTAGGGATAGGTTTTTGCTCCCAAATTTACCAGTAAATGGTCTAGCCCATGCTCTTTTTTATTTCTGTACGTGATTGATCATGACTTTCGATCAACTGGAAAGTCCATAGGACAAGAATGGAGTTCCAAAATTTTCATGAAATCAATAGAAGGGACCAGGACCGCTCAGGAATGGAAAAACGATACGATTGAAAAGAATCGTAGTTTCAGATGGAATTAAAAATTGCTTTACTAACTCTCTGCTGTCTGTTCTTCGCCGAAGGACGTTTTGAAGAGAGGAGAAGATTCCACGGTAGGTCATCGTTCTGCTCACTAAGTGCAACTAAGAAGTGTTTCTCATTGAGAATGGCTTTGCAAGAAGATACCATTCGCGGAACAACTTGCTTTTCCGCGAAAGTCAGCAGTGTTCCAAGCCTTTCACGATGGCAACGTACGAGAGAGAACTGGAGGATCATCGCGAGGGAGTGTATAAAGTAAGTAACGCTCAGCAGACACTACATAACTCTGCACTCACATCGGAACTGTCTCTTGTCAGCCGGGCGAAACGACTCTGTAACTGCCAGCATAGGCTTGCCACTTCCTATCGTTCAAAAAGTGCCAGAGGGGGGCTCAGAAGTGATATCGCGACAGGAACTATGCTTCTACATGGCGAAGCATAATCATATTCTACCCATGATTCCACTATAAATCCTGTCTATACACGAAGTTTTCCAACATAGCCGTCCATAAGAAAATGCTTGGTAATTCCAATAACATATTCGCTATACGGCCGCAAACCAAACTCTAGCTTTGAAAAAAACAATGTTTTTCATCAATCTTTTATTTTTTCGAAAAACTGGTTGCGTTCTCTGAACAAAACGAAGCAAAAATATAGTTCACCTGTAATCTGAACAAATTCGAATATTCTGCCAACAAGTGCACAATAAAATGAGTAAATTTTGATCCAATAATCTACTGGAACTCTATTTCTCCAATTAAGTTGGAAAATACGGTTGCCCATGTTCGATTAGAGGAGAGTTATAATTAAAAGCCTGTCGGCCGGTGACAGCCCCAGATGCATCAACTCTAATAGCTCACGGACCGAACTTGATGCGAATTGTAGCCCATTATCTCCTCATGGATCAATAAGGCACCAATGAAGCCCCTCACATCCTTCGGGCTTGTCGGGTTTACGTCGCTGCCAGGGGCATAACAAGCGGTTTGGTTGAATAAATTGATATCACTGAAGCTCGAGTGGCTTCACGTGTCCATAACCGATGCATTATCCTGCATTAAAACGGGACTTTCTTACTGATTTCCACGCCAGAAGCAAGGAGACGTTGTCGCATGACTTTTAGATGACGGAAGAAGCCATTCTCTCTCTCTTTCATACCGACGCACGGATAGTTTCAGGACGTTTCATTAAGAGGGGGGGGGCGATGGCAGCCCAGGACCATGAGACCACATCCACTGAAGTTCTGCCCGGAAAAATGAAACTTGTCTTCCCTCAGGTCGTGCCAGCGGAATCGGTTCTCGTCGGAGCCGTCGCAGTTGAATTTTTTCTCATCAGAAAACACGACCGCGAGAAAAAAACTGAAAAAACACTATAGACAAGCAGTAGGGCACGTCCGATAGAACAATCCCAACCTCAAATTCATATGGGTCGGCAACTCTTTCGAGCAAAGCCAATTAGGTTTTGCCCCGATGGTTTTTCGTCAGAAACAGTACGTACGTACGTAACTCATATCCCTCCTATGGGTGAGCTCGGGAGTTTTTCAAGAGACGCCTGACAGTATTCTCCGAGACATTAACCTCCAAAGAAGTCCTGATTTTCCGACACGACAGTGCAGAGTTGGATGCTTTCCATGGATACGGCGGTTATTCCGATCGGGGCAGCAAAAGGAGGATGTCCCAGAGCTCTATCCTGCGCTCAATATCCTGCGGGTCCCTTGGAAAAAATCGTTAATAGCATGATGAGTGCGGCCCGCATCCAGCGCCATTCGACGGTTCGACAGTTTTCGAGTCTTCTTTGCGATTAACTCTGTCCTTTTTCGAGGTCCATTAATGAGCGTCCAACTTGCCATAGCCTAGAAGAGGCAAGAAGTCATAATGATGAGAAGTTTCACCGAACAAAAATGAGATGCAGCCGGAAAATATGGGGTGGAACTATATTTTTGCTTCGTTGTCAGAACGTCCATTTTTGAAAAAATTGACGAAAAAATTGTTTTTTTCAAGACAGAGTTTGGTGTTGGTCATGCGAATTTGGTGTTGTTGTTACCACTTACATCACATTTTTCTGTATGGGGGCATTTCTTGAAAACGTCGGTGTAAGACGAGCATTCTTGCAGAGATTCATTGGAGTGGAACTGACTGATTATAGCTTCGCAGTGGTATATTGCGCCCGCGCTCCTGCCCCCACGGCCAACCACACGCCTAATGGCGCAGAAGATTGGCCAGAAGTGATGGGGCGCATGTAGCCAAACATGCTACATGCGTCCCAATCACTTCTGGCGCTAATCTTTACCGAAGAGTTATTGTGTTTCGTTGGGGAACCTCAGCATCGACCAACTGCTGCACCTTGAGGATAGCGCGAGTGCATTACAGAAATGGCATCTGAGTATCACTACCCCCAGTCTAGTGCCCGCGCATTTCTGAGCATAAATGTGGCACGGTACAGCTACGGACGCAGTCTCCACACATACGGTAAGGACCAGTATCCACGGAGGATAGGGTAGTTCGCCTTCGAGGAAGTATTATAGTCAAATCGATTCTAGCACATCTTCATTTTGGAACATTTTGTTGAGCAGAATCCTAAGGAGTTTTTTGATAGGAAGAAGATATTGACGGCGAAGATTACGAGTACTTCCTATGGAGAAAATACTTACTCGAAAAGCTGCGAGTAGCCATGAAAGAGTTGAAAGAGGAAGAAAGAGAAGAAGATGAGAGCGATGAGTAAGTTTTCCTTGCTCGAACTCTTGTCGTTCAACATAATCGAAGGAATTTCAGCAGAGACATATCAATACGAGATCGTGAGATCGCCGACAGAACCTACCAGATACTACAGAACATCCACGCTACTACTACGGGTACGTGCACGAAAATTACTCAATCCTTATTTTGAAACTGAAACGGTCAAAGGTTTAATTTTAATGTCATGGTATACACAATGCGTGGCCTAGTTTATAATTAAACTTTAAACTTTAGGCTTTCGAGCTCTAGTGAGGCGAGAGTGAAATATGGGTTTCCAGGTGGAAACAAGCGACTGCCTTAAAGGCAGTGGGCATGGTTGTTATGACGGCCATTACAGCCAACGCCATCGGTGGAAGTGCTGAATGGGGTGTGGAAACGCCCTCTCGCATCCTTCCACCAGTGACTTTGGCAGAAATTGTCCTCCCTAGTCATCGTGCCCTCCCTCAAGGCTACTATCTCTATAAGAGCGGTTCGAGCAACTTTGGACAAATGCACGGAGGAGTTGTGGAATTCGAACCCCAGAACGATTTCTAGAACACCCACCCTTCTCTGAGGATCATTTAACTGGGAACCAAAATCTACACAAATTTTGTACAGAAATTCCGCTTCAAAAAGGATCTTGTTAATGCCCAAAAATTCGAAGAGTTCTATGGCTAACAATAAGAGGCGCGCAAGGGAGCGCGAGGGTGGAGCAGACCTAGCGAGGATGTTACTGCACCGGAAGGAGCAGTGTTTGCAAAGTAAGCGTT